ACGTAAGGTGCTGCTCACCAGTACTCACGACTGGCAGCAACATTTAAAAAAATCTGCTTCTCATACTTCCAGAGGGCAATACAGCAATACTAAAACAAGCTGCAAGTCTGACATGCAACAAGTGACTATGTATAATAATATGATCACACGGCTGTCTCACTAGGGGTTTCCATTACCGTTGAAGCACACCAATGCATTGGATGTTGTGTTGGGTGGGTCGTATTAGTTCGACCTCACGTGTTAAGGTTGTACCACAGCTCGTAAAGCAACTCCGGTGGGCCGTGAGCTCTTCTCGGTGACGACGGATTTCTTACAAACATAAAGCAACTTATGCAAGTGGAACAATATGTTCTCGGGCCGTCGAGCCGCGTGATCAGACAATAATTGACACAAGCACCGACGTCACGTGTTAGCTGAAGATACCGCAGCATAAACAAGTCCAGCGCGAGTGCACCCCGCTCCGGTCCGCGCGGACGACACGCCATGCGCCACACTCGCTGACAATACCGAGCACACACGCACACACACACACACGCGCACACACCCGCACATGTGTCATCATCGACACGTTCATTGTGTTATTACAATCATCGAATAATTGAATAACACCATTGAGGTAATGGTAATTTAAATAATTTAAAAAAAATCAAAATTATAAGGTATTCGCTTCAAGAGGCCTACTTTCTTTAATTATATCTGAAGTAGAATGCTTCTTTGAGTAAATATGAGTATGTGTGTCAAAAAACAACGTCTTTTTAAAAAACCTTATTTAGATTGGTACGTATCTGTGTTCGCACTCTGTGGACTCCTGTGATCACTTGCCGCCGAGTGTACGCGCCTGTCCCTGTCCAGGTCGTGTCTGGGCAGCACGCGCGTGCGACAGGTGGAGCCACTGTTGGTTTAATAAATAGAACCAGAACGAGCGATGCGGCTGAGTGTAGCCCCTGGGCTCAACCCTGACTCAACTCTTGCGGACGGTGGAACGACCGACTGATGACTCGTCGACAACATCGAAAAAGACTGTCTCAGTGTATCTTATACAGAAAATAAATCAAATAGGTAAATAATTTTAGGAGCGAATTTTTGAGAGCAACTCCTGATATATTTATTGCACCTGTGTTAGTCTGTTCGATACACACATACGAATTAGTGAGCACACAGAGACGCGCGTGCTGTGCGTGCTGTGCGTGCTGCCAGACGAGCCATCTGTCCCCTGCGCCTTAACAGCGCACTCCACGAACTTCGCCGAAATAACAAACAAATGGAGTATTCTAATTTTCCAGATTGAAGCTTAGACGAGGTTAGATCGGAATGCGGGCCACTCCGTCAAGCGTCCTTGTAAGGCATCCTTTGGTAAACGACCAACGTAACGGTGTATTTCATTTATTTTCGAAACGCTGTCTTTCTGCCCTTGGCGACCCAAGTGATGGTGTGAGGGCACACGGGTCTGCCGGTCACTCATGACTCAAGAGTCTTCGTGACTGTGTCGATTTAACGTTAACATTTACCGGAGCAACACTCGCATTCCACACGCAGCGACGCGACGGGCGTGTGCGTGCGTGTGTGTGTGTGTGTGCGGGCGGGCGAGCTCTGCGCGAAACGAATAAGGAGCGCGAAGGGTAGCCGCACCTGCTCCGCGGACAGAGCGCTCGCGAGACACGAACGACGCCGACCCTTTTAAATTGTTCACTTCCTCCGAAAAATATCTAAAGTTCAGCTTCAATTGTTTCTCGACGCGTGCGGCCACTCTGTCCCCTCCGGACCAGTGCTCCCAGCGGTCGCTATCTCAGGGCACCAGACCGGCTTCACGCTCCACTGGTGCAGTGACTGCAGGTTACACGACAGACGACGTTCTATGGAACTTTCACAAAGTAATGAGGCACGGAATGCGGACGCCGCGCCGCTCGGACACTGGCTACACCGGTAGACCCCGGCCCAGTGTATAGTGCCGTTTGTGTTCTCAGAACTCCGCGGTGAGTCGGAGGCGCTCGGTGAAAGCGCTCCTCGGGGGCGGGGGGCGGGGGGCAGGGGGGGCCGGCCGGTGCCGGTCCACACTACGACGTCACGCTATTTTCAATTTATCTGCAACTAGTTTTATATAATTTTATAGCAATCTGAATTCAATAAGTGTAACACGAATTGTGTCTATTCGGCCGACGCGCGTCCTCTGTCGACAGAACGCGCTACGGGTGCCTGCCTACAAGTATCTAACAGTCAACAAGCCGGTCTCGAACTTGAGACGTTTAACTTTCATAACACGAGAGCGTCCGGTTGGATTGCGTCGATGTTATGAAACCGTACGGGGCATGAGGCGCGCGAGTCGAACAATGAATCGACAATGAGTCCTGCGTCATCGGACGTCACGCCGCGAATATATTAGTGGTCAATCACTTTCGCCTCGTCTCTCGACCCTCGACGGTAATAAAGTTAACTCTTTGCGAGGCCTGCGCAGTTTATCTCGGTCGACGCTTTTACACCTAATTAGTGTTCCTCAGCGCGCCAACGCCCCTGCCACACGCCAGCGCCAGTTCGCAATTTAATTTGATTTGAGATACTGTTGCCGAAAATAAACTGAGGTGATCGTGAATTTCTCGAAATAATATTCACTTATATATATTTCTATCTCACCAACAGTTACAGGTGTACAAAATTCGAAGTAATTCATTAAATAATTTGTTAATTTTAGACGTTCCCACGATCGACTTGTTTGATTCTTCGAATCTTCTATTCGAGAGCGTCATAATATCGCATGTACATAAGTGACACCCTCCACGACAATGTTCCGCGAACATTTCATCGTTCCGAGTACTCTCACCGACGCGCGCCTACACACGACATGCGAACAATAGGTATATAAGCGAAGGCGTAGTGAGTGCGCGGTGCGGGCGCGGTGCGGGCGCGGTGCGGGCGCGGTGCGGGCGCGGTGCGGGCGCGGTGCGGGCGCGGTGCGGGCGCGGTGCGGGCGCGGTGCGGGCTGAGACCGCGAGTCGCCTCCGCCGCGCTGTCAGTGAAGCCGCAACCTCGCCTTCATAAGAAATGAAAGCTTTACAATACTTTACATCGTCGTGCAATCAGAGACCGGCGGCGCACAATACCGTGTAGCTGTAGCTGTTTTAGAACAGAAGTCATCCTGAAGAGACCTGGGCCTGATAACAAAATTGGTAGCGTCGCCGCCCTCGCCCTCGCCTCCCGCACACTCGTCACAATACAATTGGGACTTCAACCTCATGTCCTACGACGGGCGGTCAAGTTAGTTCTCAGTCGTTGTAGTTGACCCGCGTGACGCGAAGCGTGCTCCAGTCTGATAAGTAGTGAGTGGTACAGCCTGCCGCCTGCTCGAGACCGCTCTATAGGTCGCCAGATCAAACGACGCGAGCCGAGCTGTTTCTCAACATTACGTTATTCAATTGAAAAGCAATCACAAAGTGAAAAGGAGAAAGTAACGTCTCCCAGGAGCGCGTGCTACTCTGCGACAAGCCATTATGAAACTATGTACTCAACGAGCAAGCTCTGTCGTTACGTCACACACCCACACATACACAGCGACGTGATAGAGAGACGCACTTTCTGCGATCGAGAGATGAGTGTGTCAGCCTGTCAGGTCAGCTAATTATCTATACTTATATATTAATACGTGAAGCAAAAACTTTGTATCCCTTTTTACGAAAATTGCGCGGACGGAGGAGTATAAAATTTTCCACACTTATAGAGAATATATAGAAAAAGTGCACAATGCTAATATTTTTTTAAGATAATGGCTAAAAGATACATTAAATCAATAATGAAAACATTACACACACTACCATGGATTTGACACACACACGTATACTCTTTGTTTATTGTCAAACTTTTGTTATTGCTTAAAGTCTGTAGTCAAATTGAGAATAGGTTAGTATTGTTTATCTTTAATAGCCCAGTCATGTCTGTAACCTAACTTTGATATGAAGCTCCTTAAGTAACGATTCGATGACTGTCAAATGGACGATACTTGTTAAGGACGTGATGCGTTACGTCAGCGCAGCACAGCACAGCACAGCACAGCACAGCACAGCGCAGCGCAGTGTCGCATGTCGGCTCTCGAACGTACGTAGTCCAGCAAACTGCCGGTCCCACTGCTCTGTTGAGGTCACTGCTCATGCTAGGAACATCGACTCCATGTCTCAAGGCGATAATACTACTTATGATCAAAAACTATTTTCCTCTACTTATGATGAGGAGAGTTATCTACTCGTCTGAATAGAATGAACTAACGCATCGAAATACCTTTCAAAATATCAAATGAACGTAAATGTAAGGGGTTCTTTTTGAATTCGCTCTCCCTAAGCGCTGCTCCCGGTTAGAATTAAATGAATGAATGTGTATAAAGGGGTTTATTCAAAATGTTAGCCTAAAAAGGGGGGAATTAAGCTCGAATTTTTTTTTTTATTGCCATTGTAGGCAGACGAGCACACGGCCCACCTGATGGTGAGTGGTTACCGTCGCCCATGGACTTCAGCAATGCCAGGGGCAGAGCCAAGCCGCTGCCTACCGCTAAAGAAACCGCTACCGCTTGGAAAGTTCGTGGCTATTGATGGTAGAAGCATGAAATTTAAATAAAGTTTCCTGCAGTTTAGAACAATATTTTAGAAATCATACATAAATATACTCTAACGTGCTTTAAGGACAATATACTGATTCAGTGATTTTTCACAGCCGATGGTCCAGTGGGCGTGTGCGCGTCCAGTGCTAGCGCGGAGGCTGTCTCCGGCGGACCGAGCAGCGCACGACGTGTGGGGCGCAGCCCCGGCAGCCCGGGCACACTACTAGCGATGTGGGGGACCCGCGTCCCTCTCCTTCTACTCCCCACGATCTAGCGCAGAACAAAAGACATAAACGCGTGCTATCTTGTAATTCGCGTATATGTGCTTTACATACACGAACATTACGTCCAGGAAAGTAATTGTAAAAAAGCATAGCCTTTGTCAATTGAATTGTGGGAATTAATAAGAAAAACCAACATGTTCATTAATGTCTATTTTATTTTTATTGAACAGCCAATCTCACGGGGCAAGAGGGTCGTCGATACGCTCGTTACACGGATCGGGCTGTACCACACCACGGTCGCGTGGTCCACGCACACACACGCACACACACACGCACGCACACGCACGCACACACAGTCCGGCGGGCGCGGGTTGATCACGCGACGCGCGTCGCGCTCGTCAGTGAAAATACAAAATAATACTGTAGAATAAATATTCAATGTGAGAATATATTAAAGCTCGAATTTCGGGTGAAGTCCGCTCGGATTTCGTTCAGCAGACCGTCTCCATGGGGACGCGGGGTGTAGGTACTGGCGCAGGGGCCGGGGCGGCGGCCTGCGTGGTGTGCGTCAGAGATTCCCCACAGGACGGCAGGTGCGTCGAGGAGTGGCGGCCCGCGCCCCGCTCTCCGCCTCCGCTGCCGCCCTTCGCGCAGCACGCCGCAGCACACCGCTTCAGCGCTGCCCAGGCGTGCGGTTGACACCCCACCACCAGGAAGATGAGCACGCCCTGGAGAGCATTGAGCAGATCCGTCGCGTACCACACGTACTCCGGCCCGCCCGCCGCCCACGACACCACATCCGCACCCCACGTCACGCCCATCACTACTACCAGCTTGGCACACACGCGTCCCAAAGCTGCCCTGCAACCATCACAAGCTATTTAAAGAACTGGTCGTAATTGCGAGGAAACACACAGCAGACTTTCTTTCTCACCTCTCGGATGTAGACTTGACCTCATCGCGCCGCCAGAGGCCGCAGGTCAGCTGGCGCGTGGTAGAAATGAAGAGTGCAAGATTGACCAGAAGCAAGACGCCCACAGGACCGAAGAAGTAGACGAGAATCTCCATGTCACCATAAAACCAGCAACGCTGCACGGCGAAGCGCGGCCGCAGCAGAGGCGCGGCGCCGGCCGGCAGGTGGTCGAGCAGGGCGCCGGTGCCGGCCACCAGCAGCGGCCCGCCCCACGCGTACACCATGTACACGCGGAGGCGCCACGCCTCCTGGCCGCGTTCCAGCGAGGTCGGGCGGAAGTCCCTGCACACAGGCGTAGCTCACTCAGCTGCCGCAACGTTGGAACCGGTATAGCACGCCACGCAATTAGATCGCTGTTTCAGTTTTGTCAATCGTAACATATCTGTCTGTTCAACGTGAGACCTTCTCATTGTGGTGCCATCGCTACCTTATCTTCATATATTGTACGTAACTTTCTAACTGATAACTTCCTAGTTGCTATGTTATGGACCGGCACGTTATAAAGCCGCACGGGTGGGTAGCACCAACCTGCGTATCTCTACCGCGAAGCAGTCATACGTTCCAGCTCTAAGGATGGAAGAGCCATTTACACAATACAATTGAGACTTCACCTCATGTATCGCGACGGGTGACGGTATTCGTGTACTGACATTTATAGGCTCCGGCAACGTAAGCTAGCGTAAACTAGAACCCGGGTCTATAAAAAGTTCTACTATATGTGATCAGGGCGTTCCCAGCAACAAATAGCCCTTCAACTGACGAACACATTATTTTGAGGAAAGTATGCGTATTGCGTTCTATATTATTATTGATTACATCGTCAGACTCCGAATGTTTTAATTTCTGCAATGAGTGTCCACATTCGAAAACTACTTATGTACCCTCTGTATCGCGAAATATTTGATTTAATTTTGAATCGATTTGTGGAAATGCCAATCCCTACAAAAATAACGAAAATAATCGAAATAAAGTCACCCACTAGTGAGGCTGAAACTCACCGGAAAGTCCACCAAATGTTGAAACACATCGTGTTGAGCCAGAAGAACGCGGACAGGAACAAGAAGTGCATGCAGACCGCTACATGCAGCGCCGCACATGTGGACAACACACAGACACACGTCTTAACCATGACACACTTTAGAGCAGCAGAATACCAGCTGAGTAACAGCGGCCACCGACTCACCTAGCGCGCGACACAATGTCGGCGGCACGGAGTTGTCGGCCAGCTGCGTCGCCGCCAGCAGCACGTCGCCCAGCATCAGCGCCGCCACATAGTGCGTCTGGCACCGCCAGTGCAGCGCGTGGTGAGCCGCCGGCAGCGCGAATCCAGCCGCCAGCGTGGCGGCCAGGAACGCCGCGCCCACAGCCAGCCCTGCACCGTAGAGCGCGTGCCGAGCTGTCCGCCGCGGGACCACCGCGCTCGCCACCGCTTCGCAAGTCAAAATGCGCGTGCCCTCCTCACCCACCACTGCTTCTGCACACCACGCACCCGCCTCTAGCTTGGTGCCACTAAGTTCTAGCGCGCCGTCCGGCATCAGCACGGCTCCGCTCAGGGCGCCCGTCACCCCGTAGCTCAAGCCGGCGACGCATGTGGGCCACCCGCCTCCGACGACGGTGCCGTTAGCTAATTTCCGCAGTTCCGCAAGAACCTCAACAGACTTGGACTCGTTCAAGATACAATGGCCACCGTCAAACACTCGTCCCTCGCCACAACACTTGGATAACGTGTGCGTGACATCCTCGGCGCACACGAGGGCTGCAGCGGCATCCGTGCAGTATCGCGACAAGGCCAGCGCTCGTCCTCTACTCCGGATCATCATTAGAGAGCCGTCATTTCTGAGAAGCGCGTAAGCAGCCGCGTGTTCTGGAATGATCTGGAGCTCCTTGCAATTCGGGACGGTCGCGTCGCGAAACTTCCACTGTGCGGGCAAACGACCACGCTCCAAGAAGCGTCCCACGACCGGCCCGTACACGAGCGGTACCCATTTTTGCTGAAGATCAGTCTGGGGCACACAGGCCGAGGGCACAGCGGCGGGGGTGATCACGAGCGCACTGAGCGCCGCGAGATCGAGGCTGAGGCCGGCGGGACAGCAGCCCGGAATAGAGAGAGGTTGGGAGTGCGCGCCGCCCGCTGACACCCAGCACACTGTCCACGCGACCACGACGCCGAGAGTCGCCAGCATGTCGACGCGGTTCTACCGCACTCGAGTCCGCTTGCGAACTGTCATCGCAACAAACACAAACACAAAATGCAATCACGCGACGAACACTTCCTTTATTAATTACTACAAACTGGGCACTGACAACAATCGTTGCGTCGCACTGAACTCCGTGATAATACGAAACGAACAGGAACACTTTAAAGCTTTGTTAAAATCGAAATAGTCGCGATGTCACGCACGTGGCAGTACAGAGAGCGATCCCGAGATGCGTCCTCCCGCCCTGAGAGTAGCGCACAGACTGACACACACAGCACACTGGCCCCGCTCCGACCCGCGCCGCGCTGCCCGCCCGCCGCCCGCGCCCTGCCGCGGTGCACGGACCAGCTGAGGCTTGTTTGTGTTGAACTTTGTCAAATACTGACTGAATTCTTTCTAAAAAGCTCTGCGGCACAAGCCGACCTCCGCTACTCAATCACAAGCATCTCTCCTGTTCAGTTGACTATATAATTTACGAATTCAAAGTTTGTTTGTTTCGACGTGTTACTTTAATTTACCGTAACGCAAGCCCCGTGTTCCGTAGTAAGTGCTCACCGTCGCCGCGTCGCCAAAACTAGAAGAAATACTGCCTGTAAGCTGACTTCGTTATGTCTGTGAGCTCCGGTGACCAGGACATCGGCCTATTTAGTGCAATAATTTTAATTGCGGTGGGACTTTCGTTAGCGCCTAGAAATTTATTCACACAATAACTTGGAATATTTTTAATCATTGCCTAGATGATGATACACGCCAGTCTGTTTTATTTTAAAACTAAATAATTAATTAATTTAAAACATATTTTAGTTTCTATTTTGTTGGTATGGCCGGATCGCTTCTGGTCCAGAAAGCTTGCCGCTTGATAATTCTAAAATTACTATTTATTATTACATTATATTAATAATCATAAGAAGAAAATTTATAATTACATAATAATATTTATTTTCCTAGTTTATAACATAAAATGGTTAGCTGATTTTTTAAATTAAAATATAACAATGAATTTTATAGNTTTAGTTTCTATTTTGTTGGTATGGCCGGATCGCTTCTGGTCCAGAAAGCTTGCCGCTTGATAATTCTAAAATTACTATTTATTATTACATTATATTAATAATCATAAGAAGAAAATTTATAATTACATAATAATATTTATTTTCCTAGTTTATAACATAAAATGGTTAGCTGATTTTTTAAATTAAAATATAACAATGCATTTTATAGGATTTCTCAAGGCTCTCTCTGAAGGCTCTGCAGCGGGTGGTTGAGTAGACGACAGTAGGTACGGGTTGTGTTTGAATGAAGCTCAGCGAGTCTCGTGCTGTTGTCTCGTATGTGTAGGTATGTGATTCCTCTGACGTTCCGATTTCGAGCTGCTCTCTGTTCTGTTCACAATGTTCATTTGTTTGCAGCTCAGTTGTATCGCAGCTGTTTGTGTGCACACTTCTCTAAACGTTATTACGAATGTAAACTTGCATTAAGCAAACTTTTTAGTTTTTAACTGTAGTAAAATGGCGTTTTTAATGCGTAAAACTTACAATCAAGTATTATATAATCCATACTCCATACTAATATTATAAATGCTAAAGTAACTCTGCCTGTCTGTCTGTCGCGTTTACACGCCAAAACTACTGAACCGATTTAAATGAAATTTGGTACACAGACAGTCTAGAGCCTGAGAAAGAACATATATTTTTAATGCGAAAAAAGGCTTGTAACGGGTTGAAAGGGGGGGAATGAAAACTTGTATATGGAATTATCGTCATTTTTAGACCTAAAAGCTTTTAATTTATTTTTAGGTTGTCCATTCGATATAAATAAACATGACACTAAGCTTACACATCATAATAACACATAGGTTATAATTTAAAAAAATATAGTGTGAATTACCCAAAATATACCTAAAGATAAGTGTAAGAAGGAAAACATCATCCATCTGCGAGCTATTTTTGCGTGCGCCGCTACACGTATCTATATATTTTGTAAAATGAAAATGTTTATCTCAAGTAGTCCTACAAAAAAGCCAATGACAGCATATTATTATATCTATCTTTTGCTTTTCGAGGTGTTAAAGCCCCTGAGGTGTTTACGAATCACTCGTTCATTCAGTTTGCCTATCGCTCGCTGGAAGGAGCCTAATCGGGCGGTAGCTTGCGGGTTAATAGCCCAAGAGCCCGCGACAGCCAGACCTTCGTTATTTTATAAAAGCTGAAAGTTTATCTGTGTATGTCTCCAACACAGGTAAGAACGACCCGCGACTATAGAGTTTCTATTGTGGTTACTTGGGCAGGTAACAGGCAGTAAAGGTATATAAAATAGTACCTTAAATTCGTTAAAGTATAAAGGTATTTTTTTTTTAATATTTACTCCAGAATATCTTTAGAAATCATGATATCCGTTGCCGGACACTTTTTCCAGTTGTTACCCCCTGCCAGACACCCCTAAACTTGAATAAATTTTAATTATACTTTCGTTATACTATAAAAGCTAAATTTTATATATGTTACTTAGGGATTTATAAAAATATGTTACCCCAATAGCCGGACAGTTTTAATGGTTCTTACATCTTGCCAGACACATTGAGAGCCCGCTGTAGGTGCGAGCGCGACGTAGCAACTGTTCAAGCGGGTGTGAGCGAGATAGAGTGCTTAGTCTATTGTGATCTTTTAAGATATCCAATAAAAAAAATATTTTATTACGTTCATAGCAATATTATAGAAAATAAAAAATGTTATTTTAATATTATAAAGTACAAACAAAATATTACATGTCAAAGAAAAATATTTAATCGTTCTTATAATTTTCCTCATTGTCGTATATTGAACTGATGAATAAGGCGATATCAATATCGCCTTATTCATCAGTTTCTGTAAAAAATTAAGAAAAATTATACAATTTGAATAATAAAAAAATTATGTATTTATAATAATATAAAAATTGACAATAATTTGTCAAAATAATTACATACCTGATTGAGTTTTGAGCGAATCTCTAACATAACTCGGTAGTAGATCTTGGTGTTTGTCATCTTTCAATACCCTGCCATCATTATCTGGTTTCATATGAGGTTGGATTTTTTATGAGTCGGGGTTAGCGGAGCGATGATATCGAAGGCGAGATCATCGACTAACNATAATAATATAAAAATTGACAATAATTTGTCAAAATAATTACATACCTGATTGAGTTTTGAGCGAATCTCTAACATAACTCGGTAGTAGATCTTGGTGTTTGTCATCTTTCAATACCCTGCCATCATTATCTGGTTTCATATGAGGTTGGATTTTTTATGAGTCGGGGTTAGCGGAGCGATGATATCGAAGGCGAGATCATCGACTAACGCGTCGAGCCGCCTGCCATTAGGGGTTGTGGTGTGTGAGTTCCACCTGATGTGCTTACAATTTAGGTCGCCCGCCAGAATGACAGAGCTTCCCATGCCGAGTAGCGCCTCGATATCACTGCTTAGAACGGATAAATCCTATAAACGACAGCTGATGTGCAGTAAAAGATCACAATAGACTAAGCACTCTATCTCGCTCACACCCGCTTTAACAGTTGCTACCTCGCGCTCGTACCTACAGCGGGCTCTCAATGTGTCTGGCAAGATGTAAGAACCATTAAAACTGTCCGGCTATTGGGGTAACATATTTTTATAAGTCCCTAAGTAACATATATAAAATTTAGCTTTTATAGTATAACGAAAGTATAATTAAAATTTATTCAAGTTTAGGGGCGTCTGGCAGGGGGTAACAACTGGAAAAAGTGTCCGGCAACGGATATCGTGATTTCTAAAGATATTCTGGAGTAAATATTAAAAAAAATACCTTTATACTTTAACGAATTTAAGGTACTATTTTATATACCTTTACTGCCTGTTACCTGCCCAAGTAACCACAATAGAAACTCTATAATCGCGGGTCGTTCTTACCTGTGTTGGAGACATACACAGAGAAACTTTCAGCTTTTATAAAATAACGAAGGTCTGGCTGTCACGGGCTCTTGCTCTATAATTTTTGGGTTTTCTAGATTTGTGTATGCCAATAACGTCCGCTTCTTTCCACACTGCGGGAAATAAGCAGTTCGTTATAACGGCATTTAAAATAGAGGCCAACATGTCGCAATTCTGATCCTATAGTAGTTTCTGCGAAGCACTGCATTCTTGTTAGAGCTAGTGTAAGCCAATTCTCTCAGGTTGAGCCCGTGAGCTCATCTACCGGTCCGCGCCAAGCTGCAGTAGCCCCTTACGCTACCAGCGAATAAGTAGGGAAATATACTTAGTCTGGCCATAAATACTGTTACAATTAAAAATAAATAAAATATTACATATGAATTTGGAATCTGTCATTTTTATATGATTGCTCATTGAGTTCTCATTTTGGCGCCACATGGAGTGGGATGATAAAGAGGACCGAATCGCTGTGATTGCATTACACAAAGTAGGTATGGAGTCAAATGCAATTTTTAAAACTCTCCATACGCTTGGTATTAGTAAAATGTTTGTGCACCGGGCTATTAATAGGTGCAATGAGACCTCCTCTGTTTGTGACAGAAAAAGATCTGGCCGTCCACGTAGTGTTCGTACGAAAAAGGTGGTCAAATCAGTATGTGAAAGAATTCGAAGAAATCCTGTCCGAAAGCAAAAGATTTTATCTCGGGAGATGAAGATAGCACCTAGAACCATGTCGCGTATTTTAAAAGATGACTTGCGACTTGCAGTCTATAAGAGACGTACTGGTCATTTCTTAACTGATAATTTAAAAGAGATAGGGTGGTAAAATCGAAACAACTACTGAAGCGGTACGCAAAGGGAGGTCATAGAAAATTTTTGTTTACGGATGATAATTTTTTTACAATTGAGCAACATTTTAACAAACAAAATGACCGTATTTATGCTCAAAGCTCTAAGGAAGTTTCCCAATTAGTCGAAAGAGTGCAATGTGGGCACTATCCGACTTCAGTGATGGTTTGGTTGGGTATTAGCTATGAAGGAGTGACTGAGCCATACTTTTGTGAAAAAGGTATCAAAACATCGGCACAAGTGTATCAAGATACCATTCTTGAGAAGGTAGTGAAGCCCCTTAACAACACCATGTTCAATAATCAAGAATGGTCCTTCCAGCAAGACCCGGCGCCAGGTCATAAAGCTCGGTCTACGCAGTCTTGGTTGGAAACGAACGTTTCGGACTTCATCAGAGCTGAAGACTGGCCGTCGTCTAGTCCCGATCTTAATCCGCTGGATTATGATTTATGGTCAGTTTTAGAGAGTATGGCTTGCTCTAAACGCCATGATAATATGGAGTCCCTAAAACAATCCGTACGATTGGCAGCGAAAAATTTTCCCATGGAAAGAGTCCGTGCTTCTATTGATAACTGGCCTCAACGTTTAAAGGACTGTATTGCAGCCAATGGAGACCACTTCGAATAAGCTTTTTATACTTTAAATTGTTTTATATTTATGTATTAAACTAACACACTGTAAAAGTAATAAATGTTATTTGCAATAGATTTTTTATTATTTTTTATTGTAACAGTATTTATGGCCAGACTAAATATATACAACTATATATCTTATATTATATATCAATAAGATCGGGTCTGTTCGAACTCATAACTTTTCGTTGTCGAGTTTTTAATTTGATAAATTTGTCTCCATCCCGAATAGCAGAGTAGGTAGGTAACTATGTATTAAAAACATTAGAAAATTGATGAAAATAATTGATAAAAGAAAAAACATTTTCCCATACAAAATGTCCATGGATTTCGTAACTGTCAAACATTTAATCAACAACAAATCACATAATTAAAAAACATGTAAAAAACAAAAAAAATGTCTAATCAATGTCAAATCATTACAGACTAGTCCATCAACCCTGTTAGATTCTACGAATACCTATATGTCGAATAGAATGAGGTTATGGGTGTAAATAAAAGGGAAGACGTGATTTCAATGTATGTAATTTTACATGAAATACAAACCACTAAATCGTGGCTTGGAAGGAAGGTATGCAAATGAATTTTACTAATGAGAAGTAAGTCATAATTATTTCACAACTTTTAATTATGAACTCACAAGAATTACCTAGTTAAACATTTTTAAATGCAAACCGACATAGATTGTACTCACAATGTTTCCTTTCCGAGAGCTGGAGCAAAAGTGCCGGTGTGATTTTTTTTTTTTTCCTACCTAAGCTGATAGCCCTAGCGGCTATGTCAGCGTAACCCTAACTTTAGTAGGTGAGCTCACGGGGCTCAAACCTGACGATGTTGCTAACACGAACCCTAGCAAGAGCCGTGCTTCGCAGAATCTACCACCGGATCGGAAACGCGACCCACTGAGAAGATCCGGCGAGAAACTCAGTGGGCTGTGTCTGAGAGTTAATTTACTCGTCGAGCCCTTCGTCGCAAGCGACGGGTTCGACGAGAACGGTGACCGGTGCTTGAAGTACCTAAAAGCACCGTTAGTGGATCAGGAGGATCCGAGATGACGTGTTTTGGGCGACGTCGACTGCTTTCCATTCTGTCCGCAGGATCGGGAATGTAGTTACCGGCGGCCACGATGAGAGGGTTCTCGTGTCGTGCCGCTTTATCGAAGTGGAGTGCCAGTGTGACGCAGGTCACTCCCTTTTTATACCATTTGTTCAACACCATAACATTTAGAGTTACCCACAATATTTTTACAAAATAATTATTAAGGTAATCGATGCAGTTTTACTTTGTTAAATTGATTTGATTTTATTACAATTGATTTTAAAATATTAGCACTAAAATAATCTATCAGCGAAAGTAATTCATGTCTTAGAATTGACCAATGACAATAAATGTGACTACCACCATTTTAACAAAAATGGAAGTAGTTAAAGGAATTCGGCCTCGTAGTAAAACAACGCCTAATTATTAACGACATTGACATTGCGACATTGTTCACAAATCAACAAATAGTCATTAAATAATTTAATCAATAATTTTATAATGAATAAACTTGAATAAACTTAAAATAGAGTTTCTAAAAATCGTTGCGGCGACATATATATTATACCATTTAAAAATAAATTGCTGTTCGTTTGTCTCGCTAAAACTCAAGAATGACTGAACCGATTTGCCTAATTTTGATCTTGAAATATTTATGGATATTCAGGGAAGGTTTAATCGTTGAGAAACATAAATAATAATTAAAGGAAAATACTAAAAACGGCAATTTAATTCGATAATCCAATGCAAAGTGTTTCTAGCTGTGAAACATTTGAATTCTTTTGTTAATTGATTGTCAAATATTTATCTATACTTAATATTATAAAGATGAAAGATTTGTTTGTTTGTTTGTATTGAATAGGCTTCGAAACTATTGAACCGATTTGAAAAACTCTTTCACTATTTGCAAACTATCCCCGAGTGACATAGGCTATATACTTTTTTTTTTTTTAATTAGGGATCCTTACTAAAAATCCAATAATGTAACCCAAGGTGTAAAAAAATTACCTAAAATATTATTTAAGTCGCGTGCGCTGCGAAAACTATTGATGATAGAATAAAATAATGTACCATGACTTTGTAGAACACATTATTACTTACAAAAAGTGTCGCGACAGCATATATGTCTAACTACTATAGTTACGCCACAGTAAGTGTTGTTTTATTTTTAAAAACGAAACAACATCAAATATCGCTTACCGGGAAGCTCTGACTCAATAAACTCAAAGGCTTTTGTTTTGTATGTAGGTATAACCTTTTTACGAAAATTACAAAAATAATAATATAAAAAAAAAATATGTATCATTTAAATGAAAATAAAAATTCTTTAAAATAATAATAATCAAGCTATCTTTATAATTTTTTTTAGTTACGCAAATAGAAGGGTTGATTTGTGTGTATTATAATTATTTAGTATGAAATGTTGGTTAAGACCCGAGTGAAGCCGGAGCGTGCCGCTAGTAGGTACTATATACAGCAAAAGTGAATCGTCAATTCCAAACTTATATAGGTACCTACATATTTTCCATATTTTATATTTTCTTCAAACTTCAAAACCTTTTTTTTTAAAACAGTATCTGCTGTTTCAGAAATCATAAAAGTGCAAAGGTATCATCAGTTGATTGTCGAAAAAAGAAAATAAAGAAGTAATTTTCTAAATAATAATAATAACAAATCCATCATTAATTTGTCAGTACGCGAAAGCTATATTCACTGGCAAGGAGAAGGCGACCTGCGTTACGTCCGAGTTCCGAGCTTGCTTGCTTACTTGCTCCGGGGCACATGGAAAAACGTTCCTAATTTCATTACTGTCAGCAAAGATCTGACCGCAAAACGAAGGAGCCCTAGCGTTGGCTTCATCAGGCATAGCTGCAACATTGGCAGAACGTGGAGGAACTGCACATTCTTGAATTTACCACTAAAGATCAACGAAGCATCAGTTTGCAACATCGCCAAAATAAATGTACGATGCGAGGTCACTGGAGGCACTGGACAGAACGTTAAAAGTTATTTTTTGGTGGAGCCATGATTCTGTTAACAGGTTCAGGTGATATTCGTCAGACTCTTCCATAATTCCCCGATCAACTGTTGCTGACGAACTATAGGCATTTGTGGCGGCACGTAAATACACTCCAATTAACAACTAATATGCGCGTGTTTCTTCTATAAGATCAAACTGCGACTTTGTTGTCGAAGGAGTTATTAGATATTGGAAATGGTAGGGTCGCAGTTGATATTTCGAACGGATGATTTACACTACCCACAGATTTTTGTCACTTTACCGACTTAAAAAGAGCTTATTCAGCGTGTTTTTACGGACATAGAACAACAATTCAGAAACCATAATTGGCAGTTTTAGTTTCCCGACCTATTCGCTGATAGCTTAAGAGGCTATATTCCAGCTAAATTGGTAGAGTGAACGAACAATATTGGCGGCCAAAAACAAAGACGGCGATGATCTCAATCCGACCTCTTGTGAGTCCGCGCGAGTGGGTACCACCACCACCCTGTCTATTTCTGCCATAAAGCGGTAATGCGTTTCAGTCTGAAGGGTAGGGCAGCCGTTGTAACTATACTGAGATCTTAGAACTTATATCTCAAGGTGGGTGGCGCATTTACGTTGTAGATGTCTATGGGCTCCAGTAACCACTTAACACCAGGTGGGCTGTGAGCTGGTCCATCCATCTACTAAGCAATAATAGATTCCGGTCAAAGAGATTACAACGAAAATGAAACGTTTTGACAATGCTCATTTTATTTTATTATGAGATTATTCGTCCTGGATTATTTACAACATTAATTTCATAACGAACACAAAAAGTAATAATTACCTATAATGATAGCACCTTATTTAAAACAAACCATGTAATATTGCACAAAATAAAACATTGATACATGGATGAGTAGAGCGCCATCTCTCGCAGCGGCGGCGCAGCCCGTGCGGGCGCGTGCGGGCGCGTGGCGGGCGCGTGCCGGTCGCGTCGTGCGGGAGATGGCGCTGCGCGGGCCCTATTTCTTCGAAGATACGGCCGATTTAGGTACGGAACCTTTTTCTTTATAATTTGTATAAGCCATTGATACTATTGTGGAATTTATAAAATCAAGGTGTATTAAATTATAATCCAATTTCATGAAACACAAATTAGTTTGTATCAATTTTAACCAACCGTTCCGATGCAGCGACGGTTCGTGTCGGGTTCTTCTTAAATTGATTCTAATTAAATATTCAACGTCCGAGTCGCCGATAACATCGTAAATTTTCGTAATGTAAAGACCATCTTATCGCAGCGATAAGGCGAAGTTCAAGAGACTAGCGTCGGTGATGCGAATTATTCACGGTTACGTATCGTTAATACAATTTAAATTTCTCACATCAACAACACGCGGGCAATTATATCTTTGGAAGTGAGCATTAGAATTAGTGTCGTTTAGGTATCGAGAGCGGGCGGCGGCGAATGCGCGTGGTAGGACGGCGGATTGTCCCACGGGTTGTAGCCCAGCACCGACAGCATCGGCGCCAGCTGAGGCATGTCGGCCCGCACGTCGGCCGGCAAGGCGCCCACCCACTTGTCCAGCGCGTCGCGGTTCACTGCGCGCACCACCTGGTCCGACGACCGCTCCACACTGGAACCAAGCGACAACAAGCCTCACACCTCAGCCTCTGATGGACCGTCCAGGCTCGACGTTACCCGTCGCAGTACTCACTTGGATAGCGCAACTCCGTTCGGCTGATTGATGTACTGCTCGTGGTGCAGCACCGCCTCGTCCCAGGGCAGTTCCAGGAAGTCAAGCACCTGTCGCATCGTCTCCCGCGGCCACAACACGAGCGACTCATAGCGCACCATAAGACATTTGTCTGATCCCATCGTCTTGCACTGTTGGTACATCAGTTCCACGGCATGGTTCCACTTTGTGAGACATTGCCGGTAGCTCGTCAGGTCGAATCCAGTAATGGTCACCTGCAAGGCAACACAATACGAGGGTCATCAAAAATTCAATCTAAATGTGAACTGCAATCCTGTTTCTAGGCGTCTAGGGCGTCTCACCTTCCTTGTGATGATGGAGTGCACGGTGGCGCGCCCATCTCGAACCATGAACAGGAACTTCGCGTTCGGGAAGAGCTCCAGCACGTACGTACCCATCTTGAGCACGAGCGGATCTTTGTTGCAGAGCCGCGGTGCCGGGTCGCCGTGCCGCACGATCACCTCGAGACAGAAGGCCGCGATGGCGTTATTGAGCACGGCGCGGGAGACTCCGGCCTGCTCGAGACGCACGCTTTCTTTCTGAGAGCGGGCCCAGTGCTCGCGCATCTGCAGGATGCGAGGCACCACGCGCGTCTCCTGGCCGCAGCGCACGTCCGGATGTGCGTCCAGCATGGCCCGCATCAGCGTGGTGCCGGAGCGCGGTACGCCGCCGATGAAGATGAGCGGCAAGTCGCGTCCGGCGACTGGCGCCTGTCGGTCGCTCGAGCGTGGCGGGGCGGCGCCCCAGGCCCACAGCAGCAGCGCGGCGAGCCCCAGCGCCGCCGCGACCCGAGCCCGCGCGCCGCGCCACATCGCCCGCACTGCCCGCCTGCACAGACATATATACACCGTGCTTTCGCTCAATCTTCACACCTCACCGAACTAAGGAATTCGCTTAGATAAATTACCCCTATTCTAGTAATATTGTTTAATTAACACTGATGCACTTTAGAAAATTTAAAAGTAATTGAGTTCACTTTATAAATAATAAAATATGTATACTATATTTTTCCATTCATGTTAAACTCACAATAAAAAGAAGTAAACATTATATCTATTTTTTATAGGCATTAAGACAAAACTGTAAGTATCATTTTCTCACCCCTTTGTCAACTTTTATCTTTTTTGTCGAGTAGCCACTAACGCGCTTCAATGTTAACAATTAAAATAAAATACAAATATATTGTCATAGTTTGCAAAAAGGAAAATGCAGTGAATATTATTTTCTCCTGTTCCTCCAAGGATTTTTTTATTGAGTAGTTCTAGGGATACTTATATAAATATATAAAAAAATGTGAGCCGTCACGGGACGCCTGGCAGATGTGAAACATCGACTTTATTTTGTAAAAGTAATATACAAAAAGAACAGACTGTGATAGGAACTAAATATGTCATAATGATAAAATAAAATATTACGAAAAAATAATTTGTTTTCAAGTAAAACACAGGTTATGTGTACTGTAGTAAACAACACTGTATACACTACGGAGTATACACTATAGGTATCCGAGCTCAGTGTAGCGAGAGAGATGGCTTAACGCCGGATCGAGTGGGAGAGAATCGCACAGTCGATTGCGCATGGCGACGCGTCGCCACGCCATGTGTCGCCACGCCAGAAATCGGTTTTACGTGCGGCTATAGATGTTTCAAATCAAAATGTTTTTATGTTAATAACAAAACATAATAGCAAATGCAATACATAATATGTATTGAAATCTTATAACGTCACGTGACAATGATTACCTTTAATTCATTCCAGGAACATTGGTTTAATTTAAAAAGAAAATTAATTTAAAAAAACCATACTTGTTAGGAGCGGTGCACCTTTACCCTACTGATATGAACACTACCTAGGATAATTAATGATTAATTGATGACTTATTAACTACTTAATTATTTATGAAAATGCACAAGTGTGGACAATTTTATCAACATCTCTGGACAGTAATGGGCTTTATTACTATGGACTATAGGGACTATAAATTAAACAAAAAAATAGTTTTGCATATTATAAAATTATATGTACCTACATTGAAAAATGGGTTCAAACCAACCCAAATAACTTCAAATAAGACTCAAATCGTAACTAGAACACCATCCTAGAAAAAAAAGTTAAATTATTCACACCTTGTACTTATAACTTCCCCTTTTTTTCAATCACACTTAATGAATTTAAGGGCCTGTTGTAGATGAATACACTGCACCACTTATTACCCTTGTGCAGTGATGTGATGTAGGTGTGTAAACTAGGAATTTATTGGCATGCATTGGCATACTTTTCTTATTTCAATAATCATTAAGAATCATATTAATTCTGTACAGCTATTTAGGCATCGTTTTTTTACCATAACAACTATTGACTATATGACTATTTTGAAACCCAAAAATACAAAGACTAGAAGACTGAAGAAGAAANCTTATTACCCTTGTGCAGTGATGTGATGTAGGTGTGTAAACTAGGAATTTATTGGCATGCATTGGCATACTTTTCTTATTTCAATAATCATTAAGAATCATATTAATTCTGTACAGCTATTTAGGCATCGTTTTTTTACCATAACAACTATTGACTATATGACTATTTTGAAACCCAAAAATACAAAGACTAGAAGACTGAAGAAGAAAGAATTATTATTATATGATGCTCTATTGAAATACACCACTGCTTCACAAATTCACACCTATGTTTTATTGGGTGTGGCCCAGAGGTCATCTCCCTCGCACTTCGGCCTACTATCACAGTGTTCAAGTTCAGTCAAGTTACAGTTTGTTTATTATGTATGGCAAATTTTTTTACAAGGTCAAATCTTTTGTTTACTTCCCTGATGAATAATAATCTATGTTTCTATGCATTATTTCATTTATTCACGGTGGTGTCACTATACTACTTGCTTTTCCAATTGTATAGTTTTATTATAAGTTGTATTATTGCACCTCCTTTGTATACTTAACATTATTTTCTTTTGACATATATGCAGTGTTACATTTGGACATATTTTTCTTTTCCTTAGATTTAAAAAACTATAATAGTTTCAAAAACATTTAAATAATGTCTATAGGTTACAGCAACTACTTGACACCAGATGGGCTTTAAGCTCAATCACCTATATACGCAATTTAAAAAACTAAACTTTGATTTCACTCTATTATGCCTTTTTATATTTACTTCTATTGAAGTACATACAGTACCATAATCTAAGATCATTCAACATTGTTTAATGTACAGTTATTCACATAGCTATTCACACAAAAGACTACTTTTCTCACCTATAATAAAGGACTATTACCATCATGTTCAATGCATTGCATCTATTAATGATCACTACCTACTTTCTTCTACTTCACAGTGGCAAGTATATTTTCTTAAAACCAAAGAATAATGAAAACAGAATGATAGACTTTCTTGGGATAAGAAAATATTTACATTTACTATATTGCATGGAAAACTTCTCATTTAGATTGTTTGTGTTTGTGTTACAGTTTGTGAGCCCACACTGCAAACACAGACAACTGACCAACCACTGTCAATTGAAATTGAACCTGTCCACTTTTAGATGTTACAGCATATGATGATACAGCATAAAAAACATTGGAAAATGTAATCAAAATATAATATAACTAATTATATAAATAGTCTGTTGAGCATCTGGATTCCGGAGGGACCAATTGTCATTTGAATTGTTTTAATTATTCAACAGGTGAAAGGGTATAGAAAATATAATATAATTAATTATATATCGCAAACATTCAAAGACATTTCTCAGAAACTATTTTCAAGTACACACTTCTTATAATAAAAACCGTATTGTCAGAAATTCAAAGCGAAGAGTAAGTGAATAAGAATTTGACCCATTTAACTTACGATTACTAGTAGAAAAGCAGTCCTGTTATGTAAAAACCGTATCTGTAACAATTGGCAACCAACAACAACTGAGCAATGAGCTACAGACTACAAATTTCATGGAAAATTTGGTTTTTCAATTAAGTACACTTTAAGTCTATTAGTAACTTATTTGTATTCATCGGGCAAAGCGGCGATCTCAAGAAAGATCATACATTGTGATAAGTGAATTAAAACAAATCACCAATGAGATCAAGCAATAAGTAGTGGGAACATTTTACAAATTTTAAAAAACGTCAATTAACTCACCTACATTTACTGGAAATGCTTAAATATATATTGGTAGTTTTGTTGGTGCGAATTCTATTCGTAGAAAATGTTAGGTTTTTCTTTAATTCTTATACGTATGTATGTACGGCAAATGTTATCAGTAAACAATAAATTTCGAAAAACAATGATAAGCAATTTTTTTTTTAATTGTTAATTTGATGCCGAAAATCTATACTTATTCTAATTTAGCTTTCAAAGTTTGATTCCTTTAGGTAAATCACGACAAACAACACTATTACCATTACTTTTGTTTTTGTGAATAAAGTTGATGTTGTGTTGAGTGTTGAGTGATTGTGTGTCAACCACAGACTACTCAGAGGCGTGTTTCTTTTATCTTTTTGAAAATTTAATAGCTTAGTAGTAAAACTTTTAAGCCAGGAGTTATATTTTTTTTCTTTTATTTAGGATGAAAAATGATACGAAGCATAATGAGATTATGTTGATTAATAGGCTTATTACACTTGGCTGAATTCAGACGACTGAAATCAGTCGCTACTGAATTCAGTCAAGTGTAACAGCATTCAGTAAGTTAGTCTACTGAATTCAGTAGCAAGGATGGTTTCTGACTGACTGAATCATTTAGAAGCGTAATTAGAAACGCATTTAGGAAGGTGTAATCGCATTTAGTTACTGAATGGTTTCATTCAGTCGTCCCATAGCTCTCCGTGCGTAAGGACGTTTTAGTTTGTTTTTTACTTCCGAATAAAAAGTATTAATTTCGGTCGCCTTGATTTAATGTGCCAGACATTTATAAATAGGCCGACATGTTTCAGGGATAGTTTTTGTCATCAGGGGTTGGGATATTGAAGAATAAAATTTTATATCTTGATACGAATTTCCTGTTGCAAGAAATCATAATGTTACAACCAATTTTTCTTTTGGACTTATACTATCGTAGGATTAGATATGTAATATGTAGTTATATAATAGATATATAATAGACTATCGTAGGATAGTATCCTGCTTTTGAATAAACGGTGCCACAAGATTTAATATTAGGTCAAAGGAGATCGAATCCATTTATAGATAATTTTTGAAGTCAGCTGGTTCTAAATCACTCATAATGTTCATATTTGCTAACATTCCACACAACAATAAATATTTCTTCACCGATATTCTTGTTTTTATTTTTTTTATTCTGAGAAATTGAAACAAAAAACAAGAACAAAATAAAACAAAAAAGAACAAAAAATTTGTTGTTGTCTAGACAATACTGGGGCCATCCTCTTACGCACACGACACGTCTTACTTCGTCGCGTTTAAACTAACAATTGATTCAGTAACTGAATTTAGAACAATGTAATCAGAAGCTTCTAAAGTTGCTTCTGAATTCAGTCGACTAAATTCAGCCAAATGTAATAAGCTTTTAATTTGAGATTTTAATCAATCGGGTTGAAATTATATGAATCGAGGGGAGATGCGAAGAAAGAAGTAGCAGTCAAATAGTAGTTTTTTATTGAGACTTTTTCAATGGATTTTTTTGGAAGAACCCGGGAAGCTTTATTTCCAACGGCTTTATTTCATTTTTCCACATTTTTGTAGGTACTTTCACAAATGTTAAATAGTTAATAAAACACTAATATTCTGATTACCAATCACATTTAAAGCTGAAGGAAGACTAAATTCAAAAAGAAAATAAAGCAATTTACTTAGACCTGTAGCAAGCAAGCCGTAACTATGTATTCGGTATCGAATAACGGGCAATCCATCTAATACCGAACACCAAAACATCACTCGGGAATAGATTTCGTTACTCGCATTTTATTTTACAGTAAATTCATGGGAAATTCAGTAGTTTTGCGTCAAATGGATATTAAATTACAGTTTATAGCAACCCAAGCGCCTACCGCGCCGGCAGGAGCCCTGATCGCACGCTGAGACTATTCAATCTGCGAATCAGGGGCTCTCGTTGTCGGGTCCCAGCGTGACTCAAACGACTGCCTTTTCGGACGCCGCAGTTCACCCGCACCCACCGAAGCGTACACACGACGTACGCGCGCGCCTCGTTCGATACTCGCTGCCATTCCTTTTCGAACTGGTTTGTGGGAACCTCTGCAGTATTCAATACCCGGTGCTTCAACTGGACAACATAAAAAGTTATAGTTTTAAGTAATTGACCTATTACATCCAACTAAATATAGATTAATATTTACACAAGCCTGGTTCAGAATGCTCAAAAATGCACGTTTGGTAGGTGGCCTGGCGCGCTGCTTACATTCTAGTGCGCCACGGCACGACTACGGTCCCGCGGACCTGTGGCTCTACGGTATCGTGGTCCGTCCGTGGGACTGCCGTGATGATTTGACATGCTGCCATAGCGTGCCAGCTGGTATCAAATCGTCGACTGTTGTCTGGACGACCCGTTGGCTGAGCATCCTCAGGAGGATGTAGTGTTAACTGTGGNGTGGCCTGGCGCGCTGCTTACATTCTAGTGCGCCACGGCACGACTACGGTCCCGCGGACCTGTGGCTCTACGGTATCGTGGTCCGTCCGTGGGACTGCCGTGATGATTTGACATGCTGCCATAGCGTGCCAGCTGGTATCAAATCGTCGACTGTTGTCTGGACGACCCGTTGGCTGAGCATCCTCAGGAGGATGTAGTGCTAACTGTGGGATCCCTTCCTACTTACCTTACCTTGACCCGAGTTTCATCTCAGGCGGAGATGGAACGTCGGGAGAGATATAACGATAGATAGTGTTTAGTCCTGATCCCCATGTGCCAGGTATGTAAATTGGATCCCCCAACCAAAAAACAACCAGGTGTTTATCTTTTTTTTCCCTACCTAATCGTTGGTAGCCGAAGGGGCTACTCCAACTTCGCACGGACTGTTAGGTGAGCTCACGGGCTCAACATGAAAGAATTGCTAACACTAGCCCTACCAAATCCACTACCGGATCGAAATCGCGACCCACTGAGAAGATCCGGTGAGAAACTCAGTGGGTTGTGTCTATGGGTTAGTTCGCACGTCGAACTCTTCGTCTCGGAGTCGACGAGTTGACGAGGACGGTGACCGGTGCTTAAAGAGCCTAAGAGCACCGAGAGTGGATTCAGGGGATCCCACAGGACATGTTTTGGGCGAAGGTGACTTTGCTTTTCCCACTGCCTAGGTCGGATATGTAGTTCGCAGTGGCCACGATAAGAGGATTATCGAGCCGCGCTGCTTTTCCAAAGTAGTGTTCTGACGCTTCTCTAATAAACTTACGTAGGTATCAGTTCTAAATTTAAGTTATCGTGAAGATCTACACTCCTCGCATACCACGGCGCTCCAACGGCTATCCTGCAAAAACGGGATTGGATAACCTAGAGAGAATTAATGTGTGTACGGGCCACGTGAGCGTGTGTATCGTATACTTAAGTTTTCCACACAGTTCCAAGGACGCGACGTCAATGCCATACCGTACGCAATACGCTAAACGTCTTAATGCGTTGTTTTATGTGAGTCGATATAAAAAGTAACGAGTAATGGAACGATAAAATCGTAACGAATACTGAATGGTAGAGTAAATAAAGAAGTCTATGTCACGATACGCAGTTTATTATTATCTATGGTTTACACCTCTACATTCAACAGCTTCGCTCCTCGCGTTCCCGCCAAATATTCCCAAGCTTGTGTCGACTTTTCGTTATTACAGATTACGGGTAAAACGGGGTGATTAGAGACAAATCCCAACTTCATGAACAAAATTTTAAGGTAGTTTTTGATGTATATAATGCTATATCAGGATCAAAATGATTGAGTCTTGGGGGTGGGTATATTTGTTATCCAATTTAAAATTATGCAATAAACGTTCCCGTTTAAGCAAAAACAGAAAAAATAAGTGGTACCCCTATTCGCCTGGAAATTGGGGTTAGGGGAAACGAAATTAATGCCAATAGAGAAATTTGCTAGGGCTAGCACACTTGGTTTTAATTTATTTATTTAGTTGCACCAACAAAGTGATCGACACACCAAATTAACCTTAACATATATGAGTCGACTAGTATCAAAGCCGGCAATGTGACTTTTGGACAATTATTGGTAAATCAGAAAAACGAATTATTGACTTTGTATTCCATTGGCAGCCACAAAACTCTTCTGAACGACATCTTAGATAAATAACAGGTTAAGTATTAACCTTTATTTAATGCAGGTTTTGAACCGTATTCTTTGAAGGAGACGATTATATTCAAATCAATCTGTATTGACATATCAATAACATTTTTTTGTCCAAATGCACAGATTGCCACCTTTGATA